TTTAAATCTCAGTGCAGTTTAGATACCAAACTGCAAATAATAACAAACTACCATAAACTACCATAACTGTTACCTGGCAATAGTGCTATATATAAATCTAATTCATGTTTGTGTGCCTTCTGATTCTCAAGTGAATTACACTTACATTATTTTTCCATTTGGTTACAATTTCAGCTCAACAAAAATGCTAGATACAAAAAAATAGTACTTAATGTACTATGACAACTACCTAGATATCTCGCCAAAACTGGTGACCCTTGTAGGTTATACAGGTTAACCCTAACATAAGTTATAGAGGATGCTAAAATAAAGAGTATTTATCCTGCACTTGCTATTACCACATCTTTTTTTGCTACATTTATGTGGATTATTACGTTTAGGTTAAACACATGAAACTTTTTGTGATTATTTTTTCTCCAAAGGATATCAACATTTTCTAACTTCCTTCAAATGAAGAAGCGATCGAATTTCAAATGATTCTTCAAATGAAGAAGCCATATATGAAGTTTTATAATTCAGGAATTTATTGGAGATGCAATGTCAAAAATTGTCTCAAAGTTTAGTGACCAATCTGGTATGTGGTTTGAAAACAGTCGTATTGAATTTTTAAAAGCTTTAAGATTTATTTACTTTTAGGCATATGCAAACATCAGTTGGATTTATCCGATAAGACTTATTGATTGGAATAATTATATGTGTGAAGTGTGTGTATGAAGGATTTGGAGGATAATCGAAATGTTAAAATTGGAAGGTGCGGAATGATTGTCCACACTGATGAAAGCCATTTCACGCATCAAAAGAATAATCAAGGTTATATCTTGCCACAACAGTGGGTCTTCGGTGGAATTCGCCAGGAGACAAAAGAAACATTTCTAGTCAGAGTTCCAGACCGGAAGGCAACAACATTAATGCATGAAATTCAAAATAATATTGCTGAAGGCTCAACAATAATGTCAGATTCATGGCCTGGATATCAAACAGAGGAGCTCGTTGCTGCCGGTTTTGAGCATTTTAAGGTGGATCACCGATATAATTTTGTTGACCCATCTATGCAGACTGATACTCAACATTTTGAAAGGATGTGGGGTTTTGCAAAATGGAGGAACAAGCATCAATGTGGGACAAGCCGCCATCATTTGGATACCTATTTAGCTGAATTTATTTGGCAGAAAAAAAAGGAAACCCCTTTTGATGCTATTTTGAAACTGATTTCCCACCACTTTCCTCAACATTAACTTCAACGTTTTCTTTTAACCAGTTTTAAGTAAGTTAATTTTTATTTTTTTTAATTTGTATTAAGTATATAGTTTATATACACTCTTAGACAAAAAAAACGACACATCAAAAAGGAGTTATCCAAATGGGACAAAAATCAGTAGAAGTGATGTACATGTACAGAAAAACAAATGATTACAGTTTGAGAAAAATTGGATGATTTATTGAAGAGACAGAGCTTCACATAGTTACTGTCCACCAGAGTACATGGAATGAAATTTGCGAAGAATTTATGACCTGGAAAGTTTAATAAAAAAAGAGATATTAATAAATATTTGCCAAATTCAATTAACATTGAGGAGCTAATATTTTTAAAACTACTCATACAATTTTTAGAAAACTTGGCATTCTGGCATAATTTGAGTCATAGAATCGAAATATACAAAAAAAAAAAAAAAAAAAATGGTATGTTATTTCAGAAAAAGTCCAATTTTGTGTCAAAATACCTATGTTAGAATAGTGCTATATATAAATCTAATATATATCCTAAGTCACGCTTTCGAGACATGAAAAACGCAATTTGAATTTTGTCAATCGGCTCAGTAGAACGGGAGATATAGAACTGTCCTTTTTTTTTTTCTTTTTACGCAGTGTACATACATTGACGAACCAAGAAAGGGTGCACAGTAAATAAATCTCAAAGCTTTTAAAAATTCTATAAGACTGTTTTAAAAGTTCGGACACCAAACCATTGTTGACAATTTTTGACATTGCATCTCCAATAAAATCCTGAATTATAAAACTTCATATATGGCCGTTTTTACAAATGCGTTCTTTGGATTTAAAGTGATTTTGATAGAGAGCAGATTGGAATGGACCGAAGACTCGGAACGAGCACCTTCAAAACCGCAAGGCTGGTAGGTTGTTCACAATCTGCTGTTATTAATATATATGCAAAGTGGATATATGATGGCGAAACCAACACTAGATGCCAAGGTGTTGGACATCTACACGTCATCAAAGAAAAAGGACATCAGAGACCGTCTGCTTGGTACAGTAAAATTGTCGCCAGACAATGGCTCAGCTAACAGCCCAATACACTGTAGGTTCTAAGTATGAGTGTTTCATAACGCACAGTTCAGCAGACACTGTTGGATATGGGACTACACAACAGATGTCCCACTCATGTACCTCTACTGACCAGGTGTCACTGTCAACTACAACAGACCCGGGAACATCGAGACAGGACCATACATAAGCAGAAGACAGTTGCCTGGTCAGATAAATCAAGATTTCCCATTCATCACATCAATGTTTAGGTCAGAGTACACAATCTTCCAAGCAAACAGTTGCTCCTTCCCTCGTACAGTAGATTATACCCAAGTTGGTGGTGGCAGTATTATGCTTTAAGAGATGTTCTCATGGGCGGCTCTGAAACCCTTATCATAATAGCTATGGACTACTTGAACATAACTGCAGATCAGTTGCACACTTACATGGTGTCTGTCTTCCCAACTGAAAATGGAATATTTCAGCAGGACAACACCCCATATCACAAAGCTTGACTTAAATTGGAGTGGTTTGAGAAGCATAACGATGAATTCCAATTAATGTTCTGGCCACCTAACTCCCTGAATCTTAACCTGATAGAGAATATTTGGGATATCATGGAGCGGCAACTGAGAGCCACCATATGTCCGTATGTCTCAACTTTGTGTGACCACTGCTTAGACATTTGGCACAACCTGTTTCCAGTCATCTACTAAGAACTTGTAGCATCTATGACACGGCAAGCTGCAGCTGTTTTGCAGGCCAAAGGTCCCACAATGCATTATTAAGTAGGTCGCCATAATGTTTTGGCTCTTCACTGTAGAATATATTTAAATAAACTGTAAAAGAACCAAGGCAAGCTACAGCTGTTTTGAAGACCAAAGGTTACATAAAGCGTTATTAAGTAGGTGGTCATAATGCTTTGGCGCTTCACTGCATAATATAATTAAATAAACTGTAAAAGAATCAAGGCAAGCTGCAGCTGTTTTGCAGGCCAAAAGTCACACGAGTTATTAAGTAGGTGGTCATAATGTTTTGGCTCTTCACTGTATAATATAATTAAATAAACTGTAAAAGAAATTACAAAATGCAATAAAGCATAATGCACAAAATATGGTACTTACGTACTATGATGTACGTACCACCATTTAATGGATGACTGTTCATATACCCAAAAGTAAATAAATCTCAAAGCTTTCAAAAACTCAATACGACTGTTTTCAAAGTTCGGACATCAAACCGTTGTTGACAATTTTTGACATTGCATCTCCAATAAAATCCTGAATTATAAAACTTCATATATGGCCGATTTTACAAACACGTTCTTTGGATAAAATTCCAGCCTCTCTGAAAAATTCGATCGCTTCTTCATTTGAAGGAAGTTAGAAAATGTTGATATCCATTGGGAAAAAAATAATCACAAAAAGTTTCACATGTTTAACCTAAACGTAATAATCCACGTAAATGTAGCAAAAAAAAGGTGTGGTAATGGCAAGTGCAGAATAAATACTCTTTATTTTAGCGTCCTCTATAACCTATGTTAGGGTTAACCTGTATAACCTACAAGGGTCACCAGTTTTGACGAGATATCTAGGTAGTCGTTATAATACACAAGTACCCAAAATACTTACATAAAATTAATAGAAAGCGGTTGAAAATATATATCTTAATTATTTAAACACATGGAATTTTAATTTGTTGTATGCTAGATAACTGGTGATAATCTTCAGACTCCCAGTTAACAATCTTCCTAACCAAAAAAAAAAAAAAAAAACTGGTACCATGTCGCCAGATACCTTATCTGAAAGATCAATTTCAGATACATTCAATTATGCATTATGTATCTCAAATGTGCTGATTAAATTATTGTAATATTTGTTTATTTTAAAGATGTTAAATGCATGTATTAATACATTTGTATCTGACTGAAATACTCATGTTAACACAGGAAAAAGAACAACAAAATCATGATTTTTTGAAATTTACTTATAAAAGACTTACTACATTAATTTAGCTTCATGCTTTAACCAGAATGTTATTAAAGACATATCTAGTGGCAAAGCTTTACAGAAAAAAAGGAAAACACTTTCACTAGAAGTAATGAATTTTTAATTTCACTAGCTAGTATATAATTTATCTATACTTCAATCACAATATGAATGTTCTGTGCACAGATAAATATCGAACCACATACTGTAATGTATATACATTTAAAATAATTTTCATTCGAACACATTCTATAAAAAATACAAAATTTATATCACACAAAATAACGAAATTATACAAAATACAAGATTTCTGAAGTTGTGCAATATCAATAAAATACTTCCCACCTATTTCTGCATTCATGCTCGGAAACTGTTAAGATCTACACGGTTCACAATAATTAGCAATGTGAAGAAATTACGATCAAAACAGAAACTTCCAATAAAGTGCAGCTGTGTAATTTAAAATAGCAAAATCTTGGACGGACCTATTTTTGCTGAGATAATATTATAATAAATATAATTTCAATAAAAAGATTATGCATGGCTTATAAATATTTTAAAAGAATAAATAATGTTCTAATAAACAGCATTTCGATAAGTTGGAAGAAAAAACATGTACAGATTTTTTGAATAAAATTCTAATGAACACAATAATTTTAATGGAAACATTTTGTATGGCTGGTACACAAGTATTTTAAAAGAATAAAAGCCATAGTCACAAACTTTAATTACAAGATATATACTTACTATACCTGGGATATTCTTTATAAGTACCTTTGGAAAATATATGTGAAAAAGTGTAGATTTGGAAAGATATTTTCTTTTTATTTTAAATTAAATATTAAATTAATTTAAATTGGAAGAAATTAGCTCCTTCTGTATAGACAAAAAACGAAAACAAAATTTCAAGTTCAAACGCGGTTATTAGGAATGTTAATGTTTTACTGTTAACGTTTGAAAGAGGGTGATTTATGCATGCTTTCAAATCGTAAACCGCAACACTTCTTGCGCATACAAGTAGCTTTGTATCTGTTTTGTCGATTGTTCCTTATTTCACATCATGGAGAAATAACGTCTATACATATTCTTTGGTATAACTTCGCTTATAATCTTTTGAAATTCCCTACGCAGTGGTACATTACAGCGGTTTACCACAGTAGCTGCTACTACAGTTACAACGTTAAAAGTTTGTTTGGAAGCACTTCCGCAGAGAACCCGGAAAATGTAAACATTGCCAACTTTGGCGATAATAGTTCAAACCTGGTAACCCATCGGATATATCCTATTCGCTTGTTCGAAGTATGCAACTCTTGCGTTTATTTTGTTGACCGCGAGCTTGGGCGAGTAAAAATGCAACGGCGCCAACGGGTTCTCTGCGGATGAAAACCCCAGTTTTTGAATGTAAAGTTAGAATCAAGTTTGGAATAAAATTTACTTAAATATTATATTTTAGAAAAATCAGTTTGAAATACGTAATTTTAATTTGTAGTTTGGAAAGCCATCAATAGATGGCGTCACGAGTTAAAGTTTAGCATTGCAATCCTATTTCTGTAAAAATTCACGAAATAATTGATTTTGATACTAGTTATTTTCCTAAATAATATTTAGAAGCGTTTGATATATTGCTTTATACACAGTTTTCACTAAACAGTGTCAGCATTGAAGAATAAGTATCTGTCAGCGGAAAGATGTTTACAGCAACCCTATTGCATTGCTATTCCGCACTCATTTTGTTTAGATCAAAGAGGTTAGGATGTCCTTGGTTTACATTTATATAAAATTGCCCGTTTTCCTTTGCACCTAAGCTTGATTTTTCGCCCATCGGTGCAGAAAGACTTAGCGGGTGCAAAACAAGACGTTTGTCTGTCTGTTTACATTTATTATCAAGAAATTTGCGAAAATAGAAACCTTGGAGATATTATTTCCTAGGCAAATTTGTCATCAAATACATCTTAAGCACTTTTAGTGTAAGGGTTTGGTTTTCGGACCGACGTTCCCCCCTGAATTGGAGGGAATGCGTCCTTGTGGTTTAACTTGTAAATAACTTTATATTTGAGTTGGAGAGCATAAGGCGCCAAAGGGAAGCCAAGCTTCAAGAAGAAGAAGGAGATGCGAAAATATCAAGAAAGACCGAAGAAACACGCTCATTTTAATAAAAGATCTAGAGTCCAAAGACAATGTCGGGTAAAAGTTTACGATTGGGTGCCCCTTGTTTCTTGGTGATTCTTTTTTTGACGCTAAGATCGGCGTCAGGAAGGCACAATTTAAAGATGGCCGCTACACAAAACCAAAATAAAAAGTCAAATAATTGCACAAACGCTGTGTCCATGTACACATCGATCTGTTTTCACTTAAAACAATTCCTAGAATTGCACAAACTAGGCATTGTGCACTGCCTTAAATTTGTTTATGTACACAGCAATCTATTTTCATTTAAATAAAATCAGGAAGCTAAAACAAAGTTAAAACTATCATGATAACCAGAAGTGAGGTTTCATCGCCAAAAGTTTTTAAAAATTGTCGCTAATAGAAGGGGCACCCAAATCTACACTGCAGCCTAATGGCCATGGAAGAAATAAATATGGAATTCCTGAGATGTGGAAGATTCCGAACAAGCGGATGGATTCGAGAGGTGAGAAAAAATATATTCTTTATATTGACTACTTCATGTTTGTGATTTCATAGTAGGTTCATTCTGAAGTAAAATATGCTTATTTATTTATTTATTAAAGGTAGAAATTATTGGTACAACTGCATCTGTGTCAAAGGAGATTGGTTGCCCGCCCATTTATTCTTCCATTCACATTACATTGGGAAATATTGAAAGGGTAAATTCAAATTCATGAGGAATTGCTGAAATAAATAGATCTTTTCAAAAGTATGTGCATGTTCTTGCGATCTAAATTGGATCTGCCATCATTACATGGTATTGGAAACTTTATAGTTACTTATTTGCTATGAAATGAATTCTCTCCCTCTCCTGATTAATTTAATTAAAATTATTGTGTCAGTTACCTATGGTATATTTTTACAGGTGTATGCACTTTGCATTCATGTGCTGGCTCTTCAACTTTTTTTTTTTTTTTTGTTTTGTTATTATGTCATTTACTTGGATGTAAAAAATTTTGGCTAAAGTGCAGAATCGCCCACTTATTTGTTTGGTGCTTTTTACAAGAGTAAGAAGAATTGGATTTTTGTGAATTTTCTTTGACTTTCTAAGTGAAAATAGGTCGATGTGTACATGGATAAAGTCAAGGAATAGCACAATGCCGTTCTTGTGAAATTCTGGGATGATTTTTAAGTGAAAATAAGTCGATGTGTACATGGATACCAAGTATGTGCAGTTCTCAAAAACGGGCCACGCAGTGGGCAATTCTGCACTTTCGCCAAAATTTCTCTTGGTGTTGGAACATTTTATCATTACCTGGCAAAATTTATGTATATATATTTATACATGTATTATCGCTTGTCTGCTTATGGTTCTGTGTATTTGTGATGTATGCATGATGTGAACTGCAGTTTTTGAAAAATATGCCACAGATTCCACCAAAAGTTGGGATGCAGATAATAAAAAAATCTGCTGTGTCTTTTCAGTGGAGACTACACCTGTAGTACCAAGAATGGGACCAACAACCCCATTCTTGCCTTGTTTTCTAGCCTTTTGGCATTTGTCCAAATTGTATGAAGAATTGGATTAGAGATGATTTGAATTATCTCTAGTGGGAAGGGAATGAATGCTTTCTCTGTATCTGTCTGAACAACAAAAAAACTTTAAATTTCCTTTTTTAAACCCTTCTTAGAAGGGTCCTAGTAAACTGATTATTAGGCATTATTTAGTGTTTATTAAAGTTTCTCCTCAGAGGCATTGCTGGCCATGTCTCTTTAAATCTAACACACCTAACGAGTTCCCGCTTCTCCCCCCTTTCCCAGACCCAAAGCACTTGCGACATGAAGTTTTTTGCGAATGTTTCCGCTCTCGTGTTGTTAACACCACATGACCATTGATCAAGGAAACGTAGATGCTTTTCAAAATTCATGATTTAACTGTTAAATAAACCGATATCATATCAAGAAGCAAGTCAAAAAATAAGAAACATATCTTTTCACATTTTTTATTGAAACTTAACAACATGTGCACAACATTACACCGACATCCATAGCTCGCACGCAGAGAAGAAACTTAGTGTTGCCAACATGGTAAAGATAAATGTACCAAAACTAACACGCCTCCTTACATTTATATTTACTAATTACAAATAAACATAGATATAAGCTACCTTTTAATCTTTACCATTTACAATTAAGCATAGATATAAACAATAACATTCAACACTTAACACAAATTATCTCAAAAAAAAATTCTTTTGTTAACTTAAATGTTAAAATCAAAGTTAAATACTATTTAGTTTACATAAGAACATTACCAAAATCTATTTCATCTCAAGCAAAATATTTAACTAAACATCACTTAAATAAACAGTATACAAAATTTATTTCAATTTCAAACCTTCTCTGAATTTCATAAATTAATCTTTCCTAAGACTTAGAAAGATATCTGCAATATTTGATTTTGAATCAATCTTTACAATTTCAATTACTCCATTTTGAACATTTTCGTGAAACATAATGATATTGAACTTCTATGTGTTTTGAATTTTTAGTGAGTTCCCATAATTAGCAATGGCCAAAGCTCCTGAATTATCTTCATAAATTTTAATGGGGTGAGTTATATCAGCAAAAACATCATTCACAACATTTTTTAAGAAATTAATTTCTGTCACAGCCTCAGATAGAGCAATATATTCAGCAAGAGTGGAAGATTTTGTCACATGATTTTGCTTTTTGGATTTCTAGTAAATTGGATTACCAAATAATTCAATAGCAAACCCAGTAGTTCACTTTCTGTGAACTACTGGGTTTGCTATTGAACTACTGGTTGCTATATCACCTGCCAAATCAGCATCAACATAACAATTCATAATATCAGTTTTAAGATTTTTACTATAGGTTAATTTTAGATGTTTTGTTAAGTACAAATATTTTAAAACTCTTAAAGTATATTAGAAACGTAAAAATCTCATCATAACAATTTTGAAATCTACTTAGATAATTTACGTTGAAAGATATGTCTGTCTAGTAGCATGACTAACATACAAGAGTGCTCCTATTAGATTCCTATATTTGATATTTTGATTTAAATTAGATTGGCTTAGTTAAAGATTAATCTCAATTGGTCTATCATAAGGCTTTGAATTTTCAATACCATACAGTTTAGCTAAAGATTCGATATAATTTTCCTGACTCAATGTTAAGATATTACTTTTCTCATTATCATATTCAATATCAATTCCAATGTAGCTTTTTAGGTTGATCTTTGGATTATGGTAACTTGGCGATTTTTTGGCGACCAACTCTGCTAAAGCAACCCTCTACTTTTTTTTTTCGTCGCCATTTTGCCTTCACGAAGTAAAGACATATTCTTTTCTTTTTATTTACTCAACACTTTTCCAACAATCTACTACCGAATTACACTTATGCTAGAAATTTTATTTACAAATGCTTAATCATGACAAATTAACGCAAATTGGGGAAAAGTGCACAATCGCAAATCCTTGCCATTTTCAGAATAGCACATACACATAAACCATTTCACGTCGACTTATTTTTACTTAAAAACATCCAGAATTGTACAAAAATGGCATGGCACACACTCTTAACTTTATCCATCTACACTGCTATTTTTCATAAATACAAAATTTGCAGGAAAATTTTCTTAATCTTTAACTCAGTAAAAGCACATATATGAAATTACCTGATCACAAAAAGTAATACCCTTTAAGGATGAACCTTTCCAATATAAAATAAAAAAATATCCAAAAGCTTTTACCTCTAAATTATCTATTATATTATAAAGTCACCAACGAATTTATCGCAAACATTAAAAGTTACAAATACTTAGTGTCAAATATAAATTATTTCCATATATGTTTACTTAACTGAAACGTATACCAAATTTCTACAAACATAAATTCACACATAACTATCATTTAATTAAAATATCACTAAACCATGTCACGTCGACTATTTTTACTTAAAAAAACATCCCAGAATTGCACAAAAATGGCAGTGCGCACATTCTTCACTATATCCAATACACTGCTTTTTTGTCATAAATTAGAAATTTCACAAAATGCATGAAAATTTTGTGAACTTTAAATCCAGAAAAAGAACATATATGAAATACCTGATCGCGAAAAAGTATATACCCTTTCCAGATGAACATTTCCAATATAAATAAATAAATTATCCATTATATTAAACGTCAGCAACGAATTTATATGCAAACATTAAAATAGTTACAAATACTTAGGGTCAATATTAAATTATTTCTACACGTTTATTTCAACTGAAACGTATACCAAATTTCTACAAATATCAATTCACAAAATAACTATCATTAATTAAAATATCACTAAACCATGTACACGTCGACTTATTTTTACTTAAAAAAAATCCCGAATTGCACAAAAATGGCATTGCACACACTCTTCACTATATCAATGTACACTGCTTTTTTCTCATGAATTAGAAAAATTTCACGAAAATGAAAATACTCACGTATACTACTCAACGTATTCCAAAATACTACAAACAGATACTCACAAATCACGATCATTAAATTAAAATATAATCAAATTAAAAACCTACTTAAAATATAAATAAGCACATACATTAAATTAATAAAAAATTAAATTACAATCCAATACTTTAAACTAAATCATGCTAATAACATTTTCCAATAATACCATTTTATTTATTTACTCCTTACATTAGAACAATGCATAAAAATAATATCCTCAAATGATTAAAAATACTAACTACCTAATCTTCTTCAGAATCTTCATTACGTGGCACCACACTTCCCTAGAAAGAGTTCCAATCGCTGCAGTACTACTGCTAATTTCTAAATCCGAAATCCAGTAGTCAACGTATTATTATTTATTATGATTAAAAATTTCAAATTCACTTTACATAGCGCCATGCAATCCGAAAATTAATCAACACTATTTCACACACCCATGAAGCTTAATAAAATTTTTTCCAATCCTTTCTATTAAGAATGTATTCGTCATTAATGTCACTGATATCTCATGATCTCATTCCCTCACACAAAATAAGCTAATCGGAACTGAGTCTCTCACATATTACCAAGTCTGTATAAACTTATCGCCAACTACCGTTCCAATTCCAAGATCAGCCCTTTTTACTTTATTTAAATCCTTCATTTTAAATTTTTATGTAGTTGTTCCTTAATATCATTAATTACCTGAGTATCTTTGCAACATATCAACAAATAAAAGAATATATACAAATACATCATTTTCAGATTTTACATAAAGACAATAATCATATTTACTTCTACGAAATCCTAGACTCTCAATATACTCGTTAAAACACTCATACCAAGCACGAGGGCTTTCTTTCAACCCATATAGTGCTTTCTTTAATTTATACACTCTATTCGAATTATCATTATAGCCTTGTGGTTGTTTAACATAAACCTCAGACACAACATAACCATTTAAAAAGGCAGTCTCAACATCCATTTGATGAATATTTAAATTATACTGACAAGAATATGAAAGTAACAATTTTAAGGTTTGCATCTTAATGACAGGGGAGTAAGTATCCTCAATACTATCTTTTTGCTGGAAACCTCGAACCACTAATCTAGCTTTAAAAACATTACCTGGTTTTCTTTTGAATACCCACTTCACATCTAGAATTGCTTTATCCTCTGGTTTAGTCACTAGTGTCCAAGTGTTATTTTTAACAAGACTGTTCATTTCACTGTCCATTGCCTCTTTCCAATGTCCAGCCTCACTGCATGTTGTCGCCTCCTCAAAGTTACCTGGAACTGTAGCA